CTAGGACTGAAACAACATCCAACTCCTCATCTTGCTTGATTTTTTTCTGCCCGATTGCTGCCTGCAGACGTATCTGTGGATGATGTTATCTGAACCAAGGTCAGTACTTCATTTTAAACGAGTCTCCACAACTGCCCTATTTCCTAATCACATAAAAGGAAAACAGAACAAAGACATAAAAGGATGATTCTTCTTTACCTTTTTATAGTGTATCTAAGAGCGAGGATCTCAACTGCAGAATGGTACCACACTGGTGTGTCAAAAGGTGGATTGTGTTACAGAAGCTGAGTTACTTCAACTTAAGAGGGGCAGGTTTTGATTTATTTGCATTAGAAAACTGAATCTGAGATGATTTAGGGTCACAGAAATTCAATTTCATCCACTTGGCTTCTGAGATACATTCATAAAGGAGAAGGAGGTGTCATTACTGCCTGGTGTCCCAGAAATGCCTGCAATGTAGTCTATCTAGTGAATGTGCAGTTGCTAATCTGGGTTTGCCCAGGGGAGTGTGTTGTATATATGCACCACATCTGTCCTGTGTGGTGGAATAAGGTCAAGAATTCTGTCAGGCAGTGTTTTTATAGAGACCTTAGTTTGAGCACAGCATATCAAAGTCTACTCTAATGTCATTCACTGTACTAAAGGGGCCTTCAGGGATTTTGGAGGACTAGTAATGGATTCCATACTGGATTCTCTGATTATCATTGCTTATTCTCACACATGCCCTTCATCTTCAATGAGCCTTTGCTAGGGAACTCAATCACCCCTGAAAAACTTTCTTTATAATTACAATTAGATGTGTTTTCTCCCTTCCTCTTCTGTGACTTTGGTCAGAGCCTTACCACACACTGAGTGTGCAGACTCTTGGCTCTCACCCTTTAGATTGTGAGTGTCCATCCAGAGCAGGCTGCAGCTCTGCATGTCCCCATGTAGCCTGGTGCAATTCTGTGACCAGGGTCAGAGAGTGAGTGGTCAGGCCTTCTTTCTAGGGTTGATGTTTCCTCATCACTATGGTTTGAATATGTCCACCTCAAATTTTTATGTTAAAATTCTAATGCCCAGTGTAATGGTATAAGGAGATGATTAGGTGCTGAGAGCAGAGCCCTCATGGATGAAATTAATGCCATTATAAAAGAATCCCCAGAGAGCTGCCTTGCCACTTCCACCATGTGAGGATCCAGTTAGAAGAAGTCATCTACAAACCAGACATGAAACATCTTGATCTTGAATGTCCCAGCCTCCAGAACTGTAAGAAATACATTTCTATTGTTTATAAAATACCCAGTTCACAGCATTTAGCCATAGAAGCTTAATGGACCAAGATATTCACTGTACTCAAAAATAAATGTCTTTCTGATATCTTAAGACCTGAGCAGCACATGCATAAAATAGAATGGGAAGAGATGGTGAACAAGTGATGGTGGAAACCTATCCACTAGGCTTACTTGACTAGTAAAAACTAGTCAAGTGACTCACTAGTCGAGGGATGGCTTAGAACATTGCCACCATAAATCTGGAGGTCGAAGCAAGGAACCAAGTCCCCATGTGACTTCTTACCTTTGCTTCACTTCAGAATTTTAAAAATAATAAAGTTGAGTGACTGGGGTAAGCAGGTTAATAAAAAGATGATTATTTGTTTGGTTCTTACCTAACACACCCACCGAACTTCTTTGGCAAATGGAAGCTGCTTCCTTTATTCATTTGTTTTCTACTTGGGTCAGGCACAGTGCTAGTGGTTCAGGATATAGTTCATTTTTTTCAGTGAGGTGTCAACAGGCTTGTTAAGGAACTAGAGGAAGAATAAACAGACCATTGCAATTCACTGTGGTTCACAGTCATCAAAGGGAACAAAAACACTGATAACATACTCGGTTTGTATTCCACAAGGCCTCCTGTCCTGCTTTGTAGAAAGGAAAATCTGCTATCCTTTGCCCTGATCTATATAAACAAAGGCTTCATACAGTGAGTCAGAACATTTGTACCACTCTACAAGGAGAGAATTCAAAGCCAAGAATAAATTATTTGTGGTAATAGGTATATGTGGAGGTGGGGGACTTGAAGAATTTTGACTAGTTGATGACTAAGAAAGGCAAGAAAATAATTTTTTCCTTTCCAAAGAAAAGTGATTTTTGGGACTGAGTCAAAGTAGATTTTTTGTGGGTCACAAGAAAAAAATGTCTTTTTGTTCATGGTTTGTGTGAGTTTTTAAAAATCCATAAAAGAATTTCAGGGCAAGAAACAGAGTGAGTCTTGTTTTTATAAAAAAGTGAGCAATGGAGGTAGGGGTGTGTGTGTGTGTGTGTGTGTGTGTGTGTGTGTGTGTATGTGTTGTACAGTGGAGGGAGAGAGCATGTTCTTCCAGTTGCACTGATCACATCAGCTCAGGTTGTTTCTGCCTCCTCCCCTGAACACCACGTGCCCATATATTCTCCATGGTGGAGGCTCCCAACTGTCACTACTCTTCAGACTTATCTCCCTCTCCCTTGGAAATCCTTATTTGTATCCTTCAGGTTAGATGATGCTACATTCCTCGCATCCCAGGAACACCATTTTCACACCTTCGTCATAGCATGAATCCCCTTGTTCTATAATCTGTCCACACATCTGTGGCAGTCATTACCAGGTATGGACACCTGGGCATGGACTACATGGGGCCTATTCATATTGGAAAGTGAGATGTGTAAGGCTCTGTTCTGCTCCATAATTGCTATTTAACTTTGGGCAAGTTATCTATGTAAGGCTCAATTTCCTTTCCTATAAAACAATGATAGGAATAGTACCTATCACATACAATGTTTAATTATTCAATAAACTATACAGCCTACACACAAAGAACCTAGAGCCAGTTTTTAGCTGAACACTCACTGACTCTTACATGCTTTGATCACGTCTTCAATAAACATTTATTGTAAGATCTGGATAAATGCTTCACAAGAGTGGTTTTTCCTCAGCTGCATTCTTGCTGTGCTTTAGCTATACCTAGTCCTTATACTTAAGAAATGCAGATATTTATAAGCACTTCAGGCACTGAAAACTTTAAATTCTCTTGGCCATTATAGGAACAAATCTTCGATGACCTACAGAAGCATAATTCATAAAGTTTCAACATGATCCAGTTAAAATGTCCAAGCTTCAATGTAACTGTTATCTTTAGTACATTATTCAATCTCATTTTTCATCTCTCTGAAAGCATTCCATAGCTGCTCTGGATTGATCTCACAAATTGCTTTTGGGAAACTGGTCCCAAGATCCAATGCCCTCACCTCTGCCTTCTATCATCCCAAGAAACAGCTTTCTGATGAGCCAACAGGAAACACAAATTATCTCCTTGTGGTATATATGAAACTGTACAGAGCTGTTTCTCCTGGGTGCATATAATCGTTATTTGTTGGAATAAATTGTAATAGGGAATGAATTGACACTAAGCACTTTTGTAGAGAGGCTCAGAGGTACCATTCTCCTAGTTTCTTCACCTGCAGTTGACAAGCCATGGATGGAGGGGGACGGGTGGAGGGGATGTGACAGGTAAATTTATTCATGTCAAAAGTTCAAGCTGCCTTAGCTAGAAGTTAGGGAAAATAGGCCCCATGTCAGGTTTTTATTTGCTTATTTGTTTTTCCTCTTTCTCACTGATCACAATTTGGATTTTTTTCTTTTTTTTTTTTTCATTATTTAAAGAGAGAAACAGCAAGGAAGGGCAGTCCTCCAGGTGTTTGCAGAGCCAACAGAGGCTAGGTGAGTGAGCCCAGGGCATATCTATAATTCAACTCCGCAATATTTCCCTTAATAATTAATTGAGCGCCACAAAAGGAGGCGGCCTAATAGGGCCCTTGAACAAAGCTGCAGGTGGAGGTTGGCAGTGGCCACCTAGCACCAACGACCCAGCCCAAGGTCGGATTCACTCCAGCAGTTCTGGGCGCGTGCCTCCATTGCTTGCTTGGTCTGTGCATAAGGGGAGTCGGGAAAGGTGCCCAGAGACCTGGTCATCACCCGGGCTTCTGGCTTGTGGCTGTGTGTGTGTGTAAATTCGCTCTTCCCACCGCTAACCTTTCTTTCCGTGGATTTGTGGGAATCGAATATTTATACCCATGTTCAAAGGCATTTCACAAGTGAACACCCATCCGGAGATGGGTACTCTGCCGCCTGGGGCGCACTTGCTTGCCTGGGGGTAGGGGGTGGTCCAAAGTCCTCTCTCCCTCCCTCCTTTCTTCCTCTCTCGTTTTCTTTCTCCTTTCCCTTCCCTTTCTTCTTCTTCTTCTTCTTCTGCTTTTTTTTTTTTTAACGTCTATAGGGTAGAGACTTCCCTAGAGGCAGCCAACCTTATGGGTGAGTCATATTTCTTTTTGCAGCAACAGGTTCCGGGCTGCTCAGCCACCTGCTCTTAGCCCTCGAACTCTCTCCCCTCGGACAGCAGCCTCCTGCGCGCAGCGTCTAGCCAGGGCCTGATTTTGGTCTCAACAATTCGCGACTAATGCATACTTAACGTAGGTCTCCTTCGCGACCTGGAGACGGGACCTCGCAGCTGAGGTCGCCAGACTCCCGCATGCAAGCAAAGCTGAGACTGGGCGAGGGATGGGTCGCGCTCGCTGGCTCCAGCGATGTAGCAAGAGATGCACCCAAGTCCCGAACCCCACAAATTCTCTATGGTAGACAGGAGAAAGGGGGCTCTCGGGGGAAATGTACAGAAAGTAGGTCAGGTAAAGAAGACATCGCAAGGCACCCAATCTCCGGGACTACACCTCCGGTCACGGCAGCCTCCCAGTCTGTCTAGGGCACTTGCGCTGCCGTCGGGTCTCCCACTCCAGCGCCTATGGGGACACCTCCCCAATCCAGATCTGCTTCTTGCCTCTGGGGGCGACAGAAGCCCAGGAGTCGGGGGCTGGGCCGGGGTGGGGGGAGTGCGGGCAGTTGCGGCGTCGTGACTGTGCCAGCCCTGCGGTGCGGGGAGGCGCCCCTGGCGACGGCCTTGAACGCCACACCCTCGGCACGGCCCTGGCCCCGCCCCCGCCCGGCGCGCGTTCGCGGCCAGGGGAGGCGTGTGCTGCCTCTGCAGCCAGCTCCAGAGAGAGGACGGATATTGGAGGAATTCAAGCTAACAAGTGATCGCTGCTGTCTAGGATTTTGTGTCTTTTCTGGGGAACCTTGACTTCCTTTTCCAGTCCAGCCCTGCTGTGCTGAACTCCACAGGAGCCAGGAGTCTTAGGGTCTTCCTTGGGGGCAGCCCCGATCCCCACCCCCAGGCTCCTGAAAGGAAGACTCTGAGCCCCCCTGGCCAGGCAATAGAACTTGTTCCGTGAATATTTTGGAAATTCCACCTGCCAAACCGGAGCGACCCCCCACCCCCCATCATTCTTCCCCTCCTCCAGCTGTTGTAGCTAGAGTGGGGAAAAAACAAACCGGCGGGGAATTTTCTCTATTTTTATTTTTCGCCCCTACTGGGAACAGTAAGTATGATACCTTTCTTGTCTTTCCTCCACCCTTCTCTTTTGGCTGTTAACAAACTGTGGACATTTGAGGGCTAAATAATATCGAGAATGTGACAGAAGGGCATGAATGGAAGGCGGTTAAAAATAAACCAGGAGGTGGGAGAAGGGAGATGCAGATGCTACGCGGCGCTCCGGGGAGCCAACCCCTGGGATGGGGTGAGTGCGCCCTGCTTAATGTGCCCGAGCGGGAACCTAGGTCTGGAGGCGAGGGCGCAATTAAAAATGTCGTTCACTAATGAGGTGGGGTTTGGATTTAGCATCATTTTGCCTCATCTCAGCCTCACCGGCTCCTTTCCTTTGGGAACAGCTGGTGAACGGGTCTGTATTGCTGCCTCTCCCAACATTTGGATTTGCGTGCATTTTCCGAGCATTTGAGCAGCCCATAGGGACTGTATAAATGGCGTGCGTTGAAGTGTGTATGTTTTTCACGGTGTTGGCCTTTCTCATTTTTAATTCTCTCTCTCTCTCTTTTTCTCTCTCTCTAATAAGGTTCAGGTACCACCTTAACACAGTTACAGGAATTAGCATCCAGAGATGAAAAGAGCCTTGTTGATAGGGGATGAGAGGAGGAGGGGCAGGTGTTTGGGAACACTGGCATGAGGAATGGGTAGTCTGCAAAATCCTGTTAGTTTTAATGGTGTTAAAGAGGAAGGGGAAGTTCTCTGTAAAGGTCTCTCCCAGGCTCCTAAGAGTCTGCAGTTTCAATAGATTCTGTACTGTGAATACCTTGAGGAGGAGAGATTTTAAATCACTCTAGTTTGGACAGGAGGTGGTGGTGATTTTGTTAATCTTTTCCCTTCCTTCCTTCCTTCGTTCCTTCGTTCCTTCCTTCCTTCCTTCTTTCCTTCCTTCCTTTTTTTCTTCCTTCCCACAGTGAAGTAACTGGTAGCCACTTAAATGGAAGGCAGTTTGCTTTTTGAGGGTAGAAGAGGGAGTTAGATAAATAGAAACAAACAAACCTAGATAAATGAATAATAAATTATTTGATGCAGAGCTGAAAGAAGGCAGGTCAAGATCTTGTGCAGAGTTGATGGTGAGTTAGAAGATCCTTAATTTTGGCCTGGGAGTCACTTGAGTGGGAGAGGGATGTGAGTAGTGTACAAATATATAGGCACTTCAGTTACACCAAGAATTCATTTAAATGGTGTATTAAAACTGTTTGAAGGAGTTGGGAAGGAAACTGAGCAAACTCTCAACCTATTTGGGCTGTGCAGGTCTTTAAAGGAGGTTGCTCCACAATGATTGTAACCCTAGAGCACTTTTGTAAGAATGGACTTGGACACCTCCAGATAGTAAACACTTCTGTGTGTAAGATGTTAGGAGTCAGGCAGAGGAAGGGGATGTCACAGAAGATACCTTCAGAAGCATGTTATCTGAATTTTGTGTCTCAAATAAGCTCCCCTTTTGCCCTGGGAGAATGGTTATGATTGAGAAATCCTCTGCCACTTCCCTGCTTGTTACTTTATAAAATGTGAGTGTATTTAGGTTGCCAAACTGACCTGATCAGCAAGTAGCAGCAGGTGGTCAAGAGCTGAATCCTGTTAATGGCTTCAGAAAGCCATTTCTCTTATGCTTCCCAAGTACTTTCAGTAATAGAAGTTGGTGGATGCCTGAATTCTTACTGTCATCATCTTTTCCAATTCTCTGGGTCACTTTCTGCATTCTTAGAAGTCCTGTTGGACAGACAGAATGGAAGAAGAAGAGACAGGAGATTAGGGTAGGAGGCTTTACAGGGCCTAACTGAGGAGATGAATTTGCTGGACTTGAGTGAGCTGACCAAGAAGTGCCAGGAATAGCAGGTGATAATGGGGACAGATTGGAACTGCAAGGAACATGTGATCAGGAAGTGGGAGATTGGAAATAAGGTGGGGAGGTGGGGTAAATTTGGGAATGGGAGAAGTGGATTAAATTACTAGGGAGTAAAGTTTGATAGGCTAAGAACAAAGTCTGCAAAAGTGAGATTTAAAAGATAAAGAGCTAGTTCTTTTAGAAAAGTGCTGCAGGAATCATTAAGGTGAACTTGGAGGAACTTCAAGAAGAAAGGATGACTATTAGAGGTGTGAAAACTGGGATTAGCTTGTAGGCTGTGGGTGTTAGGGCTTGTTCAGGAATCTGGAGAAGGGAAAACATCAGGGACATGGTCGGGGAGTAAGGGAATGCCACCTTAATACAGGTATGGTGAACCTCAAAATGTCCTGTATGTCCTCACATCCCATCTACTATTCCATACGGTGGCATGGGTCTTAAACATTTGGGAATGGGAAGATAGACAATAAATGCATAGGTTACTGTCATGTTATTCACAACTGCCATGTTTATTGCCATTCATTATGTGCAAGGGAGTGTGCCTCTCTATCAATACCTGTTATCTCATTACCTCATTAATCCTTACAGAGGTGGGATGGAGGAGGTTGTATTGCATTATCTACACTTCGTAAATGAGGGGATCAAAATTCATTCAAGTAGTGGAGTGTGTACTGAAGAAAACTATATTTTTTCTGACTTCTTTAATCCTGAGTCAAGACAGAGAGAAGTGGAAGGGTGCTTTATTCAGAAACATTTTATGAGTGGAAATTTAAAAAAGAATGCCTTAAGATAAATGAATGATGGAAGCAGCTGTAAAGTAACAGCATTAATTATTATGGAATGAAGAGAATGACAGTGAGAATTAAAACCTGGCATTGGTGAAGGGAAGAGGGAAGCAAGAACCATGTGGGTTGAGAATGGAAAAAAGAAAAATAATTGAGTTGTCATGAAAATAGACTGTGCTGAAATAATAACCAAAGAAGAAGGAAGAAGGAGTAAAGTGAGAAAGATTTAAGAACACCTTGCCCCATCCTCTTGAAAATTTATGGTCTCTTGATACATATTATACGATTGGTCTGAGGACAAGATAAGGAAGTGTATGTGAAGTAAAATGCTCAGATTGCTCTTTATGATTTGATTCTTCTTTTTATTTTTCTCCTATGCTTGTTTTCCACCCTTTTTCAGGTGAAGTGCTTCTTCTGCATGATTTTAACCGAAGGATGCTCTACATTTCCTTGATTTCTATGGAGACCTCAGAGCTGGGTTTGCCACTGCTGACACCTCATCTTGCACCTTCTGTACCTCCCAAGGTCTTTGCCTCTATCTACAGCTTGGCATTGCCTTTGGGTCCAGGAAACCTTTGATAAACTTCCAGGGAGAGCCTAGAGAATTATATCCTGATAGACTTTGAGCAGCAATGGCTGGACATGCTGTAAGCCACACCTTAACATGGGTCAAGTCTTCACTAGAAGGCAAGTGTTAAGACTAAAGACTTATTTTAATTTCATTTAAATTTGATGGACTGGGATTTGGACAATTTCCATGGCAGAAAAATATATTTCATTTTCTAGGCACAACTTATGGCTGTCAGATTCTTGCTGCCTTTGAGTCTTGCACCATCATCACTGACCACATCCCCAAAATACTTCCAGATTTGAACATCTACCCCCGAAACATAGGTGTTTGGGAGACCCCAATATTTTCTAACTTAGGGTTGAGGAGCATTAGGCTGTTTATCTTGACTAGCTAAGCTCTGGAGAGCAATGTTAAATCTCTGAGAAGAGAGAGCATGGGGTGTGCTGATTTAAAAACAGAAAATGCAAAGTTGGACTGAAAATATCCTTAGTCTTCCAAGCAATCTGCTTAAGGGTTCCAAACTTACCTTAATTTGGTGAGAAAAGAAGCTGCCCTATTTTTCTTTCTTCTTCTACAACTGGATCCAGCCATTTCCAAAATCCACCACCATGGAGGTTGCGATGGTGAGTGCAGAGAGCTCAGGGTGCAACAGTCACATGCCTTATGGTTATGCAGCCCAGGCCCGGGCCCGAGAGCGGGAGAGGCTTGCTCACTCCAGGGCAGCTGCAGCTGCTGCTGTTGCAGCTGCCACTGCTGCTGTTGAAGGCAGTGGGGGTTCTGGTGGGGGCTCCCACCACCACCACCAGACACGAGGGGCCTGCACATCCCATGACCCTCAGAGTAGCCGGGGTAGTCGGAGGAGGAGGAGACAGCGGCCTGAGAAGAAGAAAGTTCACCACCGGCAGAGCAGCTTTCCTCATTGCTCAGACCTGATGCCCAGTGGCTCTGAGGAGAAGATCCTGAGGGAGCTGAGTGAGGAAGAGGAAGATGAAGAGGAGGAAGAGGAGGAGGAAGAAGATGGAAGGTTTTACTATAGTGAAGATGACCACGGTGATGAGTGTTCTTACACAGACCTGCTGCCTCAGGATGATGGGGGTGGTGGTGGCTATAGTTCAGTTCGCTACAGTGACTGTTGTGAACGTGTGGTAATAAACGTGTCTGGCCTACGCTTTGAGACCCAGATGAAGACTCTGGCCCAATTTCCAGAGACTTTGTTGGGGGACCCGGAGAAGAGGACGCAGTATTTTGACCCTTTGCGCAATGAGTATTTTTTTGACAGGAACCGACCTAGCTTTGACGCCATCTTGTATTATTACCAGTCAGGAGGCCGCCTGAAGAGGCCAGTCAATGTCCCCTTTGACATCTTCACCGAAGAGGTGAAATTCTATCAGTTGGGAGAGGAGGCCCTGCTCAAATTCCGGGAGGATGAAGGCTTTGTGAGAGAAGAAGAGGATAGGGCCTTGCCAGAAAATGAATTTAAAAAGCAGATTTGGCTTCTCTTTGAATATCCAGAGAGCTCCAGTCCTGCAAGGGGCATAGCTATCGTGTCTGTCCTGGTCATCTTAATCTCCATTGTCATCTTTTGCCTAGAAACCTTGCCTGAGTTTAGAGATGACAGAGACCTTGTCATGGCGCTGAGTGCTGGTGGGCACAGTGGATTGCTGAATGACACCTCGACACCCCACCTGGAGAACTCAGGACATACAATATTCAACGACCCCTTCTTCATTGTGGAGACAGTCTGTATTGTGTGGTTTTCCTTTGAGTTTGTGGTTCGCTGCTTTGCGTGTCCCAGCCAAGCACTATTCTTCAAAAATATCATGAATATCATTGACATCGTCTCCATTTTGCCTTACTTCATCACCCTGGGCACTGATCTGGCCCAGCAGCAGGGGGGTGGGAATGGCCAGCAGCAGCAGGCCATGTCTTTTGCCATCCTCAGGATCATTCGTCTGGTCCGAGTATTCCGAATATTCAAACTCTCCAGACACTCCAAAGGCCTGCAGATCCTGGGTCACACCCTCAGAGCCAGCATGCGGGAACTGGGCCTTCTCATCTTCTTCCTCTTCATCGGGGTCATCCTCTTTTCCAGTGCTGTGTATTTCGCAGAGGCGGATGAACCCACTACCCATTTCCAAAGCATCCCAGATGCATTTTGGTGGGCTGTGGTAACCATGACAACTGTGGGTTATGGGGACATGAAGCCCATCACAGTAGGGGGCAAGATTGTGGGGTCACTGTGTGCCATTGCGGGTGTCTTAACTATTGCTTTGCCAGTGCCAGTGATTGTCTCTAACTTTAACTATTTCTACCACAGAGAGACAGAAAATGAGGAACAGACGCAGCTGACACAAAATGCAGTCAGTTGCCCGTATCTCCCTTCTAATTTGCTCAAGAAATTTCGGAGCTCTACTTCTTCTTCCCTGGGGGACAAGTCAGAGTATCTAGAGATGGAAGAAGGAGTTAAGGAATCTCTATGTGCAAAGGAAGAGAAGTGTCAGGGAAAGGGAGATGACAGTGAGACAGATAAAAACAACTGTTCTAATGCAAAGGCTGTGGAGACTGATGTGTGAATCACTTTCTCCACCCGTCACTGCCCCCCCAGTATCTCCAAATATATTTATGCATAGAGAGTGCAGTTATGAAAATGAAATATGCAAACAATTCCAATGCATACAGTAGTACGCTGTTTACTGGTAATACGTGGCATAATTGTTACTAAACTTGTATTACATATCAAGAAAATGATACATCTTGGAGAAGAGGGAGGCTTAAATAGGAGCAAATCTATCTTTATATTTTTTATTAGAATGCAAGAATTTTGCACATTAACTGGAAATGATGTTAATAGTAAAGATGGTTCCATGGAGAGAGAGAGAGAGAGAGAGTGTGTGTGTGTGTGGGTGATGTGAGTGTGTGTGCACGTGTGTATGTGTAAGTAAATTGTCAACATCGTTGGTAATTGTGAAGTGATGGGAAAAGTTGGCATTTTGAAGTATTTACTATGTAAGAATTAATGAGTTTGAGCAGTCATTTATCAGTGCTTTAATATCATTTCCTGTGTCTTTGAATTCTGTAGTTTTTTTTAATTGTAAGAATTATTATGTAGAAAAAAGAGAAAGTAAATTATTTACTAGAATATAGGCCACAATTTTATCTTGGATTTAATTAAAGTTTATTTTTAACTGGAAATTAACTTTTAAAAAGGCTGCAGGGGCCTTTAGAAATTGATTATATTTTATTATTAATTTTGGGAAGAGATGACAGCAGATGCCTAACATTCTGAAAGAAATGAAATTGCAGAAAATGTAACAAGTTTTCTTCACAGGTAACAGGACTGGAATTTTTTTTTTTTTGCCTTTGCACTAATTTATATGCTGAAGATGGAGAGAGTCTTCATACTGTGAATGTTTACTAATATATCAGTTCAATGACAATCATTGGAAGAATGATTTCTTAGTCTTACTTTCTTGTTCTCTTCTTTTTGTTATGTCAGACTAAATGACCACACATATAACAGAACATTCTCTCCTAAAATTTAAATAACTGATCTGCAACGGGACTATGAAGTAAAATTCAGCAACTGAATCTTTTCAAATTGGTCTGTTACAATGATGCTTCAGAAACCATAGTATTTTAAATATTCTTCTGCCTTTTAAATCCAGAATAATTTAACCAAAGTTAATGCATGCACTGAAAGAATTCTTGAAGAAATAAGATGCCCAGCAGCTATAGTGATTATGGCTTCAGATCTTTCTATTAAACGTACAACAGAAATGCTAGATTTATTAAGTTCATTTCTTTGTGCAGTTACAGAAGAGCAAAATGTGGGAATTCACCTCAGAGTTTAGCATTCTATTTGCTACAATTAATGCAAGGAAGAATTGGGTCAAAATATTTAGTTTCATTATCACTATCATTATTATTTTCATTAAAGGATTTTATGACACCTGTAATTGCATTTAACTCACAACAAGGTGTTTAGAATGTTAGGTAACAACTAGTGATTGGCCTCGTACTGGTAGAGCATAAGGAGATGTGTTTAGAAAACTCAGAATACATACATAAGAAGCCTTACCCTCCCATGTTTTTTCCCTCAAACCTCCATTCTTTATAAAATGGTTGTCCTGAGGTTTGAGGGAAAAAAAAAACATACCATGTAGACTATCTCAGCACATAATGACAACTGTGAACTGAAAAAAAAAAGAAAGAAAGAAAAACCTGGAATTGCTTTTCTCAAGCTTCCTTAGCCCCAGAAATCCTTTCATAAATCTTAACTTCTCTTTTAATGGTATTTGAAATTCAAAGTGAAGTGAATCCAATGTTAAGGCTAAAAGTGAATCTACACCCTTCTCCCTGCCCTTTCCCCATCACTTGTATGGAAACACTTTCTAGAACAACATTTGGAGAAAGTAAAGCAAGCAAGTTGATTGAATGTGAAAACCAAAGATCAATAATGCACAACAGAGAGTGACAAAACAAGGAAATGCCCTCTTATGATTAAGACTTCATAGATGACATTTTTAATACATGTTGGATTTGAAGCAAAAATATAAAAAGCATTTGACTAGGGATAAGGCCATTTGGGTTGGTCACCATTTCTTTGGAAAAGTCACTTTGTATTTCTGCACCTAAATTTCCTCGTTAGTAATGAAGAGGACACACAAGCGTGTTCCATCATAGAATTATGAAAAGCAAGTGAAAACAGACAAATTCTAGAGTGTGAGTTCCACGAAAATGCCTGATGCTGTATCTAAATTATTTAATCTTTCTCTTCAGAGAAAAAGGGATTTAGAATTCATGAGTTTCATTTATGTTGTTGGGATACCCTAAAAATCATGGGTTGTTTCTTTAATGTTGGTGTCCTTACAATAAGTTGATTTACAAACACAATATAGTCAATCATTGACTAACTAATTACTGGAGTTTCTTTTTTGGAGGAAGACATGGCCTAAAAAGATAACTGTAGACAGGGAACTGTGCTTTTTATCTCCAAGTAGGTCTAGTTATATCTTAAAATATTTTAAGGGCTGTAGAATAGGATGTTTATTAACCTTCTGTAAGAGCAACAGCAATGATTTGGCTATGCTAAGAAGGGAAAGTGTACTGAATTTCATTGTTCCTATGACATTTCTTTTTTAACTCAGAAAAGTTAAATTTATTTGATGATGCTTATTATACTGATAATTCTGAGAATTGAAGAAATATACTCATTTGGTAATCCTGAGACTTGCCTTTATGTCATATGGTATTTTTAGGGTAAGAAGGTCAGAAGTGACAGTCAGAGGCTTTCAAACCAAATATTATTTGGTTGTCACTAAAAGTCTCTTTTTTTCCCCCCCTACAAAATACATTTACTTTAGGGTGTCTGAATCTCGATTTTATACCGAGAAGAAAGCATTTAAGTCTTTCAGACTCGTTTAGGGGCCTTTCTGTGTGGAGCACTTCTTTTACAGAGAACGTGCGAAGGCAGAGTGTTCAGTGCAGCTGTGAATTTACAGCGTTTTTCCAAGTGGATGCTAGGCAAAGTGCTTTAGAACCATTTGTGAAATTTTTATACTGAGGAAAATGCTTCCAGGGGCTCTGTGTAATTGATTTAGGAAACTGTGTCTTCTTAGAGGGTATCATACATGTTTGGTTGTAAGATTAAAAGAAGTGACCCCATTTAGAGATCAGAATTCACAGGATCTGGGATCTTTTAGTTGCTTTTCAGATGATAATAAAGGTTACCCACAGCACGTTTGAGGGTCATCCTAATCAGAATCTTTTCAAGGGTGGATGCGTTGTTCTCTCTCGCAAAAGCTTAAAAGGAAATAGTTATGTCTAACAGTTATGAGGAAGAGGCAAGGAATAAATATTCCTCTTGATTTCTGTGAAAGAGAGCTAGTCGGTGCCAAAGGAATGACAGCTGGTCCAAGGAATCAAGAGAGCTGGTTTGTTAACCATGGGCAAATCCTTTCATCTTGATTCTCAGAGATTTTTTTTTTAAAGTTTCTTTCTTCTTTTATTTGTAAGTGTAAAATGAGAATATTGGGCTATTTGGTCCCTTTTAGTTCCAAAATTCTACTGTGGGATTGAAGGAAGCATTAGATGAGTTTGAGATTTCATAAGTATCCCTCAAGTCTGACAGCTTGGACTTTTTAATTAAGTACAAAGAGCATGATAGTTTTAATCATTGTTTAGGTTAACTGCAAGACCAGGAGTTTGAGATTTGTAGAATGAAAACTAAGCTGAATGAATAAAATATACTTTGAAGCTTTTTATTCTAACAACTAAAGGGAAGGGATTCACTTAATGAAAAATAACTCCTTTGCATCCAGTTGAATACGTATGCTAATATTGGTAAGTAAACATTTTGATTTCTTGATCTGTGTAGTACAGCCTTGTCAGTAAACAGAGGATCTAACCCATGCCTGAGAACTTATTTTATGCTTAGACACAAGTAGCATTTTCCAAGTGCTGCTGAAGTCCTTGTCAAACTTGTTTTAAACAGGATCACTAAAGCTTTGTGAAAAATCTTCTCATTAAGCATGTATCAAAACAGAACCCCATATTTAAATAAGATATACCTAAAGAAAATACTCTGAGTTAACATATTTTCCATTTTTAAAAAAAAATCAACATTAACCAATGGAAAATTATTTTTATTGTCATTGGCATACTAACAGTAGCACCTCACCTTCCAACTGAATCTGATATGGTATTGTCTTAATTCTTAGGGCTTTGATGTGTCTACAACACTAACATTGCAGTGATTACTAGGTAGAGTAGGAGAGACACCTAGATTTGGTTTACATTTTGTAGTGAACCTGTGGTGATGTGCTTATGTGCACGATGCAGACTGTAACACCCCTCTTTATTTTTTTTTTTTTTTATTGATACAGTTTAGAATGATTACGGGTTGTCATTCAGTGACAAAAGGGCCTCTTCCAGGAAATCTTCTTGACCCAAAAGTCATTCTGAATTCTGCAAGGAACATTTGATGTGGACAAAAGGTACCTCTTGGTTTTCCTGCCTGAAAAGAAACTTGATTTTAAGCACAGAATTTTCCAGACTAATGTAACCACTGCAGATTAGACCACAATTCTACTTTCTAGTAACGGGATCAGTTTTCCTATTTGAAAGAAGGCTAATGGAGTCATTTATGTGTGAGATTGAAGGAATCAGAGCTATTTTTGCAGTGGATGGGAATATGTACTTCTGAAAAGTAAATTAAGATTAGGACTGTGATATGAGTTTTATTTCTGGCTTGGTTTTCTGTTACCATAGCAGTCCCAATTTCTCACAGTATCTTCTTCATAAAAGTATGCTAATACATATCAGGCCATATGGTCTAATTTGAGGTTCAGAAAATATGGTCACTTCATTTGTGGTAAATAAATTAACCCTTAGGCGTGAGTTTGTTGCTTTGAAGGTAAGTCATGCACTAAAATATGGAGTCTTGTCACTCTCTTGGAAAACATATTCTTCAATTCGTTGGTCACTGTTTGCTGACCTAAACTTTAGTTTTTACTCCACTTGTTGTCATTGGTATCTCAGAAGGAGAATTTGTGTCGAGGGTACCAGCAGCTAAATAATTTTGCTAGTTGATCCACCGTCAATTCTTCCTTCCTGACCTCTGAATGATCTATTTTGGAGATTATACATAGCTGGTTTGTCTTCTGAGGATGGCTTTACTCAGACTCATAACCCATGGTCTCCTATTAAATAGCTGGTATAAAAAATGAAAAATCATAAAACTTATAAATTAATATAGTACAAAGTGCTGGGGGGAGTGGTACACACCTGTAATCTCAGCACTGGGAAGCTGAGCTTGAGAACTGCAAGATTAATACCAGTTTAGGATACATAATGAGACTTTGTCTCAAAAAAAAAGTAGTAAAAAGAAACAAACCACCAAAACTAGAGAGCCAAGCAAACCTAATTGGGAAACTAAATCTGTTGGGTCAATATGCAAATTCATCAGAATTAAATACAGAGAATTCAGGGCTAGCCCTTCTCGGGGCTCCTCACCATTAGCAAAGATAACTAAGAGGTGACTGTTGTGAGGGAGGTAGCTGAACAAATATACACAAGTTAACATTTTGTGTGAAAATGGCAGAAATGCCAACCTATCTTCACAGTAGTCTTAATGGTAATAATTAATAATAACTAATTATAGACTGATTACAATAGGTTGTTTTTTCCAGTTATTGGTATTATGTAGAAATGCACTTGGATTGTTGTCTCACAATTCTGTACGTAAAGAATGTATTTTCAAAGTCTTAGAGAATGAGGCCATTTTTATCCATAGCTTCTTAAACTGTTGGCTATTGAGGGTTAGTCACCTCTAACATCAGTCAAAGCAGTTAAGCAAATAAACCCTGCCGATATCAATTAAAGCTGTGTCAGTGCTGGGTCAAATAATTATAATTGTTTCAAAAGAAATATCCAAATATATCCGTATGTTCATATATATTATGCATTTATTCTGCCTTTATTCTGACTGAAGACATATAAGCTAAATGAATAGGGTGTGGTATTGAAATAGTCAGCTTGAAGTGAAGTGAAAGTTTAGAATTCCCACTAAAAGTGTATATGTTTTGGAGAAATTGTGATACTTGAAGACTGAAAAATCTGCACACTCTAGTTTGGACTTTTGTGACATATAATTATACTGGAATTAGGCCTAATCTCTAAAGTGTTCTATGGGAAAGGGAATGTAGTTTCAGTCTTAAGAGGAAGGGTCAATTTTTATGCTTTCTGGGACATTGCAAAATGCTTATTTTATTTTATTTTTATGTACATTATTCCCATTATG